ATTCCCTTTCTCATTTTTTTTTTCTTACACACTTATATGGTATTAATCAAATCATATAAAAGAATAAGAGACCAATTTGATATGGTTCAAAAATCAATACATTAATTTGATACAAATTCACAAGAAACTCTTGGCTATGAAATTCACCCCAACTTGATAGAAATTTATAACTTGATTGTACAAGTGGTTAGTCCCTTTAGTTCTTTTATACTATCTTATTAATATTGTATAAGTTTGTAAGAAAAAAAAAAGAATGAAAGAGGGAGCGGGAGAAAGACTAAGGGAGAACAATAGATTGAGAGAGAGGTTTTGATTTAACTACAAACCAAAGCTGAGAGAGTGGGAGAGATAGAGGGAGTGAGAGATTGAGAGATGACTTTGAGAGTGAGAGAGAAGCGAGGGGGATTAAGAGACAAAGATAGTGGGATAGAAACTGAGAACCTATTTTCAGTATAGGCTTTTTGGTGTGTCCAACATGGATTAAGAGTCCCATGTTGGCAATAGCCACATAAGCCTTTGATGACATGGCGGGGGATTTTATAATTTGAAATGTAGAGTCAGTTATCAAAGTTTTTGTTAATTTTTGAACCAACTTACAACCTAATTTAAAATGTACAACTAACTTTAACTATAAGTTTCTCTTTAAATTATATATTTCATTTACATTATATAAAATAATGTTTACTTATCACACTTAGTTTTTGTTTATCTATGATATCATTTGACCCAAACCACTAACCCACCACCCAAGAAGAAAAATATTTTGATTTCTAGGTTGACATTAAATTTTGTATTACATTTTCATAATTGATAAAATTATTTCTTATATATAATACTTATTTTTGTTCAATATAACGAATGCATAATATTAGAGATGTACATAATATTTTATTTTTATGAATATATAACATTAGATACGTGCCCAAAATTTTCTCTATCTTTTTTTGTGATTCTTTGTATCTTCTATTTTTACAAATTTTATTATTTTCCTATGGCACCATTTCATTTCTAGGTAGATTTTAAATTTGGCATTCCATTTTCATCATTAATAAAAATACTTCATACACTTCATACTTTTTATTATTCAATTATGGCATTATTTATTATTCCATTTGATCCGAAATGGTCGAATTGCTTGTCCACCACCGAGAGGGAAGAAAATGGTTTTGTTTTCAAATAAATTTTCAAAATATTTATTTTTATACTATCAAAATTAATATTGTGGATTTAATTATAAGAATTTAATGATGAAAAAATATATATTTTAAATATAGGTTTTAACGAAAGAGAATAAGAAAATATTTTTATTTCCAATTGGTTTTAAATTTTACATTCAATTTCCATCATTAATAAAAATATTTCTTATTTATCCTACTTATTATTGTTTAATATGTATTTTAAAAATGTCCCCAATTTTTTAATTTCTATTTCTTTTCATTTTATCCATTTTTTAATTTTATTATTTAGTCATGGAAATAACACTCAATTTCCCATCATTAATAAAAAATATTATTTCTTATTTATCATATTTATTATTATTTAATATGTATCCTAAAAATGTTCCCAATTTTTTTCATTTTTATCTATTTTTGAATTTCATTATTTCATTGTGACAACATGGATTGACCCATTTGACCCAAAATGGTTTAATTTCTTACCACCACATAGATGAAAATACTATTTTATATAGGTAGATTTTAAAAGTATAAGCTTTTTATGTTATTGAAATTATTAATTTATTAAGTATGGATTTAATTAATAGAACTTAATGATGAGAAGAAACAAAAATGGCTTAAACATATGATTCAATGAACATGAATGCAAGTTAATAACTCAAATGCTGAATTTAATGAGAGGGAATTGACTGCATTGAATATCTTAAAATTACATATTTTCAACTCATTTAATATCAATAACCAATTACCCTATTTGCCGTCATTTTGATCAACAAATTTAATTATAGAGGGGTGCATTTTGTCCTCAAAAAATTCCAGAAATATTCTTGAGGTCATTTATGCTTTTTAAAGCAGTATAGATTTTGAAATGGTACTGAGGTTTGTATTTGGTTAAAATCAGGGGTGCAACTTGGGCAAGCTTGAATTGGGGTTTTGTCAAAATTTTAGTTGGCCCTGCCAAAAGCAATGTAAAATACCAACTTGGGAAGTAATGCGATTTAAGCTGATATAGGCAACCGCATTTTAAATATAGAATCTATAAATCATTTAATAATGAAAAAAAAACATCATTTGAGCATCATACTTCAATCTGATGAGCTCAGATCTTAGGAGATCTGGAGTGCAATCTGATACGATCAAGACCCAACTCGATTTTCAAAACAGACCTAAGCAGGAGGCCATTCAGATGCTCTTGCCGTAACAAAAGTGCCATCAGAGTCACTTATCAAACTACCCCAGCTGCCAACATAATTTTTCCACATACCGTCTACATTAATAGCATATACCGATATACTCCTCAGGAGGCCTGGTCCACTGCATGAGGCCCTGCTCAAAGTAGAGATGCTGGGTTGTTAGGTTGACAGAGTCTACAGAGATAAGTGGAGATCCAATCATAAAATTAAGCACATGTTTATGATGAAGCTTCTTCTCTGGAAAAAACTTCTTCTCTTATCATAAAAGAGGAAACTGTCAAATTCACGGTGAATGATAGAGCCATGCCTTCTTGTTTTTGAAAAGTTTTTACTTTTCGATGAGGTAATTTTAAGAAATGGGGTTCAGCCCGTGCAAAGCCCGTTCAAACAATCATCATAGCTTTGCATTGGGAATATCTCCCCATGAAATAAAGCATAGAACTGCAGAGATGTTCCCAATGCAAGGCTGTAAAGGCTGTTCAAACAATGTTCGAACGGGCCTTGCACCGACTGAAGTCAATCTCAATTTGAAGGTCATGTTTGTTTTTCGGTAAGTTATTTATCCAGGTAATTGTTTTATGAGAAATATTTATCCGGGTAAGTGCATGTACATGTTCTTTTATTTTTCAGGTAAATAAAATAATGATCATTTTAGCCATAAAAATTTCATTATCAAAAGGGGCATTTTTATCTCATCCAAGTGTTTGCAACTTTCCCCTAGATTGGAAAGCTAATTTATCCACCTAGGAGATGGGTAAGTAATACCCCCTGGTCCCCATATAAATTTGAAAAAAGAACATAGGTTTCTTGGTCAATCCCATCGACCAATTCCCACCCCCCCTCAAAATTCCAAAAACAAACTCCCTAAAGCTTTGTTTGGAAGGAGTACAAATACAAATATGTACAGTGCAAAGTCATACAAAATATAAGATTTTGCATTCTATATATTTGTATTTGCACTCCTTCCAAACAGAGCCTAACAGAAATGAGATTTGGTCCTCACAAGACTCCAGATCTCCTCCTGCCCACAAGAACTTTACCCATGCCTACTCACATGATGCTACCTCCATGCATTGGGAACATCTCTTTGTGCATAATAACATGTAAGAGGATGAGATGTTCCTCATGTATGGTTACAATATTATGTGGGAGGTGTGCAGGTGGGAAATCCGGACTCCTCACAAGACTGTTCTCACAGTCCCTGGCAGCCATACATTCAGAATCTCTCTCCATCAAAAAACATATAAATACCAAGATGTTTCCAATGCAGGACTGCAAAAGATTGTGAGAACGGTTCTGTCATGACCAAATCCGAACTCGCTTTAACATCCACCACGAATTAGACCATTTAGCAAAAGTCAGCTTGAAATTCCGGTGGTCAAAACCACTTTATTCTGTGATTTCCATATAATCACCACCAAGATGCATGCAGCAGCCATCCAACGGTGGAATCAAACCATTAACAAAAGCCTACCCTTAAAGCCAGTCAATAAAAATGTTTCGCAACAATAATCGTAAAACCAGCGAATCAAGGGGAATTTCATATCAGTGTTTAGAAAACTGGAACGGACCAATTTGAACCGTAACCCGAGACCTTGATAGGTTCGGTCATACCCCAATAACCAAACTTATTCAAAGCCCACTGAAAACCACCTGACAGGCCGGTTGAACCAAAAAACTGATGAACCGGTTTCAATTTCATGAAACCACTCAAGTCCATATATAAATGATTTTAAAATGTTAAATAAGATTTAAACCCAAGACCTCTTATTTCACAGATTACTTAATTACCACTAATCCACCTCTTTACTTATACTAAATTAATGATTATTTATTATACATATTATATTATTGTTCACATATTTTAAAGAGAATGCAAGTCAAAAGGCTTGAACCCTAGTCATTTGTTTTAAAAATTAAGAATCTTATCGCCCATCCACCATATTTAAATAGAGTAAAAGACTCAAAATTATAAAATATGTAAATGTACATGCTACATCATCACAGTTCAACCTCTCCCTTCTCCGGTTCTATACCCAGTCCGGTTATCTGAACATTGCTTCATATGAGTCCTATTGACGGTATAATCTCGACTTGAAAGTTGAAACTCTTGTACAGCACGAACAAGGAAACAAGCAACAGAATTGTAATACAAGTTATACAACGTTGTCACATGACTCGCATCCACCACTTCCTCTCAACTTAAAACAATAGCTCAGCTAGTGCATCCGATGGATACAAGGCACAGATTTAAATATGGAATCAACAGAAATCAGGATTTTTGAAATTTTATCTTACTAATGAATAGTATTCATTTTGGGTTATGCAAATCAAGCAGTTATTAATAGAACCAAATCTTCTACCCCAAGAAAGAAATCTAGATCCAAACCAGATTATTCAAATTTTACCAAAGCAATTTAAAGAGAAGAAATGGACTGGACATGAGCAAGGTTAGCATATTTGCAAGACAACCTATTATTTTTCTATGCCGATTGCCACACCACATGGGGAAACAAAGTCGTAGTTGGCTTCCATAAATTTGCATAATTGCACAGGCAAAACCAGAAGAGCACTTTGATCCTTCTGTGGTGATCCATAGCGATATCATCCAGTGGGTACTACCAGAACTAAGTTGACTCTTAATTTTTTTGTCTTAGTATATTTTCTAAAAGTGATTGCACCACTCTGTTTTCTTCTTCCATCCATCCATTGCCAGGATCCACAATAGAGAGCTTTGTGAAGAAAAACAAAAACAGATAAGAAATGATTCTTGCATGTGTCTAGTGGTTCTCACTGCTTCTGTAATACAAATAATGTATGGTCTAAATGATAAGCAGCATCTTAGTTTAATAAACCAAGAAGGCACTTCTAAGCATTGGCTTAAATCTGATATACAAGTTCAGAACCAAAACATTACTCCTAGGAAGTTGCACCGAGGATTTTAGGCATCAGCCTTGGAATTTGCAGTACGTATTGCACGTCTAAGCTCTGCCACAAAATCCATCTGCCAAACATAACAACCAGGTTGATTATTGAGAGAGGTTGATTAGAGAGAGAGAGAGAGAGAGAGAGAGAAGAGCAGACCTGGTGAGCCATCACCTGATGAGGAAGTCTCAAAGGTCCCCATGCTGGTGCATTACTTCCTGAGTATATTACCGGTCGTTCTGACACAAAGGCATAAATAAGCAAAAGATGAGAAAACTGTACCATGTCTATAAATAACATTTATACAAAGGCATATTCAAATAACTATGCAGTGCCTTTTTTATAATAAAAGAAAAAATTTTATTAGGAAAAAAAGGAAAAAGGATGGTGACGCAGTCACCCAAGAGAAAAAGAAGCAAGCTTCACCTCCAACGACCAGCCCACACCTCTTTAAAAAACATACATCAAACAGGAACCATCCCCCCACCCCCCAAACCTAAAAGGTGATTATATACGAACCTCTTTACTTCTCCTAAAGACTTACTCAATTTCTTTCACTTTCTTAGTAGGCCCAATTTTGAACAAATCCCTTTTAACCATGCAAACACTTTTGAAACCTAGAATGTTCCAAGGAATTTCTGATTGTTGCAACGTCTTACAGCATTAGGCTTCTTCTTTACATCCCTCAGACCCCTTTGATCATTATAGATTCTCTCCAACTCCAAAACCACATTCCTCTGAAAAAGACCGACTGAAACCACCTTTTCCTTTCCTTTACAACCAGCCCCACCTTCTTTAAGCATGCTCAACTTCTTTTGGACACAATATGACCTTGAGCTGACAACATTCTTTTCAGAGCCCAAACTAGAATTTTCATTTTTCTGTCACAGGCATTGGATATCTTCCAACTTTTTGAACATTTTCCTAGCAAAATCCTCCCCTCCAAGAATAGGCAACCCCCCGAGCCTTACCTCCACCTCTACCATTTTTTTATAGGAAAAAGTAACTTTCATTAACTTAATATGAGAAGAAATACAACTGTCACCTACAGAGACATAAGGTGACCCCTCATCATATAATCAGAATACAAAACAGCCCAAAACAAAGTCTCCCGATTAACCCTTTGCTTTGCTAAAGAGTCAGCTAAAGCATGTGCTGACCTCCTAGTTCATTCACCTTTTCCAAATCAACTGTCCCCTCATATATTGCCATGAAACATTGTTATTGGCTTTTATTTCTTCTAATTTTTTCCTTTTTGATCAATAACAAATAAAATATTAAAGTAGGACAAGTAAGAGATATAAAGACCATCCTTCACAATACAATACCACACAAAATTTAAAAATATCACCTTGGTGGAGAAGAAATGAAATACAAATTGTACCAAATCCTCCTGCACTTGCAATTACTGGACCTGGTTTATGGTCAGTAGTTCCCAGCAGCTATGTCACCAAGATTTAGAAATAGACCACCATAAGTATCATTACAAGGAAGAACATATTTATCATGTTAGAAACACAGCAGGTGGAACATTGCCATAATCATGTCATGGAATATCTAATAGGCAAATGAATGATGTTGAGACAATCCCAAAGACTCAACCTCAAGGACAGAGAGTTTGATTATATGGCTTTTCATGATTGTGCTTGGATCCTAGTGCCTGTAACTGCCTGGGTATGGTCATTTTTCATATTAAAACCATGACTCAAGCTATTCTGGATAACAATTGCATTTTGAATCATGACCATGAATGTTTGAAACAGTTGAGAGGCACACCTAGTTGAAGGTGCTTTTGTCTAATGATGGTTTATACTAATGGAGAGCAAAATTGTAATCCTTTGTCCATTCATATAAAGTCTCTAATGGAAAGGACAACACTCATTATTGAATACCTCAAACGTTTCTCTTTTTTCTCTTATTTTTCTCTTCTTATTCTTTTCTTCTCTTATTTCTTTCCTCTCTTTTTTTCTCAAACATACATTGCACAACTTGGTATCAAAGAAACCTACAGAAGAGGGTTCAACTACAGTAACCATGGCTAACTGTACAACCAGCTCATCCTGCTGTCCATGGAATTCTTCTGAGAAAATCAAGAAAATCAGATTTGAATGTTTCACTATATCTATTGCTTATGTGAAGTTTTTGATCATTGGATCCTGCTCTATTAGATCCATATGAAGTTTCTCACTGCTCCATATTTGATCTCACTTGATTTGGTGATACAATAATGTTTTTTCTACTATATATTTACTGCCTAGCCCCATATCTTGTTTTCTCTCTCTGCTATGTGCTGAAATCATATCGACAGGGCTGTTGGAGGATTGTTCTTTATGTTTTTCCCATCTAGTTGAGTCATTAAGTGCTGTTTCTGGTGTGAAGAATATCTACCCAAGTACCTCTATGAATTTATTGACTGATAGATGGTGAGGGGGTTGAAGAATTGAAGGAAGCTTTTGGATATTTGTTGTGGAATTGATGATAGCCCTAATATCCAGCTTACCACTGAAATTTGATGGAATTATTTTCTTGGAGTGGACTCAGTTCATGAAGGTGTATATTGGAGGAAATGGAAAAATGAGCTACTTAATCAAAGAAGAGCAGAAACCTTTTCCTGGAGATCTTAATCTTGCTTGGTGGCAATAGGAAGACCTCATGATTGTGACGTGGTTGGCTGAGTGATTGAGTCTAGGCAACCCCACATAAGCAAGGAATCATCTGTTTTTGTGAACTGCCAAGGAGGTACAAAACAGGGTCTCAGGCTCTCAGCTACCTATTCTTAGATTCATAACACTGTCAGAGTCTACTTGGTTGTGCAGGGAAGCCAATAATTTCAGACAGAGGCAGAGATCTGTGGCTTGATATTTTTCCACTCTTCAGTCACTATGGGAAGAGAGAGATCATCTGGAGCCACTCAAGTTAAGAGATTCCTTTCATGAGGAGCAATTTAGGAAGCATAATGAGAAGCTCCAGGTCTTTTGAGTTTTTTGGTAGGGGCTGCATCCTCAATATGATTTTGTAAAAGAAGTCCAGTTGAACAGAGATAGAAAAGAGAGAAGAGAGAGAAGGGAGAGAAGAAGAAGAAGAAGAAGAAGAAGAAGAAGAAGAAGAAGAAGAGAAAAGTATCTAACTGAGAAGACAAAGAGTCTAACCCAGTCGACCATCTATTTAAATTTAACAAAACAGTATACAAAGACAGAAATGCCCCTGCATATGTATGAGACATATAAATAACACATTACTTAAATGGAAAAGACTAGAATACCCCTCTTTAGTCGACTCTAACACTCCCCCTCAATCTGGAGAGTATATATCATATAATCCCAGCTTGTTACATATATAGCTCACTCTTCCCGAACTCAACCCTTTTGTGAACAATGCCCACTGATCACCTGTTCTCACATGCTCTGTGCTTATGACACCATTAAGGACTTTTTCCCTTACAAAATGGCAATATACCTCTATGTGTTTAGTTCTCTCGTGAAAAACTGGGTTGGATGAAATATGAATTGCAGCTTGGTTGTCACAATATGGCTTCATGGGTTTGCTTATTGAGAAACCGATTTCCTACAATAGATTCTTCAACCACACTAGTTCACATGTAGTGTGTTCCATGGCCCTGTATTCTGCTTCTTCACTGCTCATTGCTATCACAGTCTACTTCTTACTCTTCCATGTCACCTCCTGGCTTTGTACAGTAACCCATGGCTTGGAGCCCCCTTCAAATACTGCACAATCCTAAGAATTGCATCCCAGTGAGGCACTCGAGGACTTTGCATAAACTGGCTTACCACACTGACAATAAATGAGATATCAGGCCAAGTGATAGTTAGATAATTCAGTTTTCCCACTAACCTTCTATACCTTCCAGGATTATCAAATAATTCACCTATATCACTTCCCAACTTCACATTCAGTTCCATGGGAGTTTCAGCTAGTTTAGCACCTAGTAGTCTTGTTTCTTCCAATAGGTCAAGAACATATTTCCGCTGACATAGGTTCATGCCTTGCTTTGATCTAGCAACTTCTATACCCAGGAAATACTTCAACTTTCCAAGATCTTTTGTTTGAAAGTGATCTTCTAGAAATATCTTCAATCTATCACTGCCAGTTATGACTATGTCGTCCACATAAACTACTAGCAAGATCTTCCTGGCCTTAGAGTCATAGCTAAATACTGAGTGGTCAACTTGACATTGTCTCATTCCGAACTCCTTCACTACTTCACTAAATTTGCCAAACCAAACACAGGGAAACTGTTTGAGCCCATAGTTCGCCTTCCTAAGCTTACACACCTTACCATCCTCCCCCTGAGCAACAAACCCTGGTGGTTGCTCCATGTACACTTCCTCTAGAAGATTACCATGGAGGAAGGCATTTTTAATATCAAGCTGAAATAGAGGCCAATCATGCATAACAGCTAAGGAAATCAACACATGTACTGAGCCAATCTTCGCAACAGGAGAAAAAGTTTCTACATAGTCTACACCATAAAGTTGAGAGTATCCTTTTGCAACTAAACGAGCTTTCAGGCGTTCCACTCTTCCATCTAGTAGATACTTAACAGTATGCACCCATTTACAACCAACAACATGCTTACCTGGGGGAAGATTGGTGAGTTCCCACGTATGATTGTGATGAAGAGCAGAGAGTTCTTCTTCCATAGCTTTTCGCCACCTTGGCAAGGTAAGGACCTCTTGAATATCCTTAGGTGTGGATATAGAGGATAACAGAGAAATAAACCCGTGATGGGAAGCAGAAAGGTGAGATACAGAAACATAATTGGATATGGGGTGTAAAGTGCAACTACGTTTTCCTTTCTGCGATGCAATAGGAAGGTCAAGATCATAAGGCAATTCGGGTGTGGAAGGAGCTGGATCAGTAGGCAGACTAGAAGGTGGTGGTGCTGCTGGTTTTTGTCGGTGAGTATATACTTGATGGATTGGTGGTCTTTTAGTACGCTCCTACATTGGGGAAGGTGGAGACTCGGTCATAATGGGAACCACCGGAATAGAATTACCAACCGGAAGAGGAATAGGAACCTCTGTAGGATAAAGAGGGATATCCGGACCTGAGAAGTACGACATCGATTAAAAAAATGTAACATCAGGACAAACAAAGGATTTCCAATTAATAGGATTGTAGCATTTATACCCTTTCTGGGTCCTAGAGTAGCCAAGGAAGATACATTTAATGGAGCCAGCAACCAACTTATCTAGACTAGGACCAAGATTCTAAACAA